TTCACCACATGTCAGCCCCATGATAAGCTCTACGTTCTACAGTTGCATTTTGGCACATCCCATCTGGGCGCTACTAGTGGCAGCAACTTTCACGCGCTAATTCATTTGCTTGTACGAGAGGAACGTCAAGGACAAGCTGTGGCTTGCCCACTTGATCTCCCAACGATGTGTCTGGCAACCGTCTTCGCAACATCACCAGAGAGAAACTTCATGCCATCAGGTGTGCGGAAGTTTGCAAGCCTGACCCTCCACCAGTGCCAACATTCGCTCAGGTGGCGGTCTTTACTTCTGCTCAACAGACACCATCCCGCACGTCTGCGATACACGGGTTTCACTACATCTTCCGTTTCCACTTATGTCGCTAATACATTTCAACGCCTGGGGACAACCACGGCCAGTAGGCTGATATTGCGAAGTGTGTGGTCATATATCCAACTTTGCCAACGCCATCAACAGATCGAACGTCGACGTTATGAATTCTATGAAAGAGAAGAGCTTCTTAGTACGGTTCCTCAACACGATCACCTCTACCATCGTTATGACTTCCGCTAACCATCTCCGCAAAGCCCTGACGAAGCACGTGCTTACCGTTTATCGCGTCAGCGTTCTCTGTGAATGATGCGCCACTCTTCTTCTCCCCTTCGGCCTACTGCGTAAACAACGGGCCATAGCCCGGAAAGCCAAATAGTAACGCTTCAGGAGGAAAAGCTGCATCTTCTGGGCTTAGTCTAATTCCTCCGCAGCGGCCCTCAAGGAAGAAAAATAGGAGGGAAAGAACGGCAGAAAGGTTAACCAGCTTATAGGCAGCCGGTTTGCTACCCTGCGCATGGGAGGGGGATGGGGGAGATGAAAGATAGAGAGGAGAGAGGGAAGAGAGATAAACACAGCTCATTAGGCAGCACACGCGCCCACACTGGCGGCCCTCAAACGTGTACACTCTTCATATGTGTTGAAGGTATAGGGCTGTTCCATGCGCTAGCCACCCAGCCGCAACGCACGTGCCGGCACACCTATCGCACCCAAGCAGAGAGTGAAAGAGCATCACTAATAGGCTCATTTGTCCCCCGATTGCGTGCAGCAGGGGTCCCGGCACGTGCGTTGCGGCTGGGCGGGTAGCGCGTGGAACGGCCCAGAGGGACTGAAGCATTAGTGGACTGGGGTGCAGCGCTAGCACTTTCTGTCATTAGTTCTCAATTATGTTCTCGTTTATGAAAGGTGAAATTACTGTATACCAGATCTTTCTATGGTGTGCCAATGCAATTCTCTTTCTGTATGTTAGTGTGTGCTGTACGCGAATTTTCATCGATGACATTCTATATCACATTCAGTTCCTCGTACTGTCTTCATGCACATACGCTGATTAGGATGGTACTCTCTGTGTTTAGCGTCGGCCGTGATCTCATTGTTATCAGCCCATCGTTCACATGACGGACACAGAATTTTCATCTGCACACGACGCTAGCCAACTGCATTTTGTCACGGCGACCGAGTGTTCCATTCCCCCTGGTCACGAGAATATCCTTACGTTGACCTCCGATATCATCATTCATGGTGATGCGTTTGTCGCTTCGTGCTATCGCTGGATATCCGGTGGAACTGTGATTGCGCCAACCTTGGTCACGTTTCATGATAGCAGAACATTTCTGACTGCATGGAACTCTACATTTTCGCCACTTAATCTGCCTAAAAGTACTGCTTTGGCCTGCTTTGACCACACAACATTTGGCTCGATGCCTCGGCACGCATATGCACCACTGTCGCCTGCTGCTAGCGGCGACCATAGGACGGCCATGGCTTTAAGTGCCACCATCAATCCTGATCTCCCGGCGGCGGAAAAAAAATCTCCTGGCACTACTTGGAAAACAATGCGATTCTTTTGACATCCACTCCAAGCATCTGGAGCGCACTGCCCTCGCAGGGCACCGCATGGATATCGAGGGAAATACGATCGTGCGCCGTCGGCTATACCGCGTATCTACCACCGAGCACGAAAATATCAAGGACAACGTCGCGGACATGCTGAGACGAGGCATCATTCGGCCATCGTCCAGTTCTTGGTCATCACCCGTTGCACTGGTTCAAAAAAAGCAAGACTCCGTACAATTTGTCGTTGATTATTCAGTGCTCAGTAAGATCACGTGCAAGGATATATATCCGATGTCCCAAATCCATGATGCCGTTGACACCCTCCAGGGCGCAAAATATTTATCAAGTCTTGATGTACAATCAGGCTATTGGCAAATATTTATGCAAGAAGTGTACAAGAACAAGACGACATTTGCAACCCTTGATGGTCTTTATGAGTACAATGTATTGCCAATCGGTTTATGCAACGCTCCAGCAAGATTTGAGCGCATGATAGAGTTCATCGTAGCCTAAAATGGAAAGCCTGATAATGTTATTTTGATGACATTGTTATTTTTCTTCTACCTTTTATCAGCATCATTAGTAAGTGGACGAGAGTTTTACGTGCATTTCAAACACAAAGCTGCAACTCAATGCGAAAAAAAATCGCCCGAAAGAACATCGTAGTGTTGGTTCATCTTGTTAGTAAAGATGGCGTTAAACCGGATCATGACAAGGTGACTGCTGTGACGCGCGTCCCACGCCTCAAAGATAAAAAAAATTATGCAGTTTTCATGGCATCCCTTTCTATTTTCGTCGTTTTATCTGCGATTTTGCCTTCATTCTGTCGTCTCTGCACAGGCTACTGACGTCGGGTACAACCTTCACATGGGCAAGCGATTGAGACATCACTTTAGGTTCTCTGAAGGCGGCAATGACATCTGACTCCATCCTTTGTCACTTCGACGAGCATGCCCTTACTTGTCTGCACACTGACGCCAGTGCCCATGCCTTCGGCATCGCTCTTTCACAGTGACATGCAAGTGGTCGTGAAAGAGTTGTCGCCTAAGCCAACCGCGCACTGACGAATGCGGAACAAAGCTACTCGATCACAAAACAGGAAAGCCTGGCCTTAATTTGGGCCGCACACAAGTTTCGCCCATACCTTTCTAATCGCCATTTCAGCGTAATTATGGATGACCACACATTATGTTGGTTGTCATCACTGAAATATTTGTCTAGACACCTTCGGCGCTGGGTGCTCCGACTTCAATAATACACCTTCAATGTTGTTCAGAAATCTGAAAGAAGCATCAAGATGCCGATGCTTTCTGTTTGTCCTATCCAACTACTATCTACTCCGAGCAAGAGCAAGCCTCTTCAATGCTCGTTCCATGACGATGAGGTTACATGTCCATCGAGATTACCGGAAATAGAGGTTGCTGACCCAGTGTTGCCCAATCGCTACACTCAGCTGACCACCTGTCAAAAGCAAGATCCATACTGCTGTCGCATGTTTCAATGACTGTGAGGAAAGTCCACACCATGTAATTCAATGTTGCGCTGACAACTCGGGCAATTGAAGAAAGAAAACGACGGACTCCACCAAAATGTTTACAATAATGATGGACACCGGTGGGTTCCTGTCCTTCTACGTTCGCTTTGTATGCAGGTCCTTGAAACTTTTTACGACGACTCATCTGTTGGCCCCTTGAGATTCGACAAAACATACAGCCGCATTAGGAGCCGCTTCTTTTGGCCTGGGCTCTACCCTTTTGTCGCAAAATAGGTTTCTTCTTGCGCCCTGTGTGAACGGCGCTAGCGGTCAATATCACCTCTTGCTGACTTGTTGCAACCATTGCCGTGCTCAGAGGAACGTTATGCCATTGTTGTAGTTGAACTCGTGAGACCTTTTCCCGTAAAATTGGCAAGATATCAATGGATCATGACGGCAGTTGACCATCCCACGCGCTACGCATAGACCACTTCTCTGCGCTCTAATTCTGCATATCAAGTGGCCGCCTTTTTTCTCGAAGCCGTCGTCTTGAGTCATGGTGTTCTCCTCTTTGTTTCAAGCGGTAGCGGCATGACTTTTCTGTCTTCAGTAATTTACGAACGGTTGAAATGTTGTGGCACATTTCACCAGAAAGTATCAGTGCTTGACCTTCAAACTGTTGGCATTACAAAGCGATTTCATCGCACATCACTTGAGATGATAGCCATGAATATTGGGCCAGCTCACGACAACTGGAACAAAATCTTACCATTTGTCACGTTTGCGTGTAATCCCACCGTCTAACGTATATTACTGGGTACTCACCATTCTACCTTGTTTATAGCCGTTTGGTGAAGTTCAGAATTGACGCTTCATTCTCACGCACTAGTACTGATGATTCTCCTACTACAGCCGAAGAATTCGTCTCGATACTTCAAAAATGTCGACAACTTTCTCAGCTCGTTACAGAAGCAAGCCAACGCAATAGCTAGCAGTGGTACGATATCTCTCATCAGGACGTCTCTTTCCACCCTGGTGACAAAGTGCTCCTATGAACTCGTGTTTCTGGATTGTCTTAGGCGTTCCAGTCACGATTCCTTGGACCTTACACAGCCATTGAGCAAACACCCCGAGAAATCTAACGCGTCCCTGCCATTTACCTTCCACCTAACTGTCAGTTCTGTGGTGCAGGGTTAGCACACGTTTTCCGCCTGAAACCCTTCATTCGAAGTCTTTCCGCAGTCTGAGTCACAGCAAAGCTGGCCGCTTTGGCGCGCGGGGGAATTAGGGCAAGCACGTTCATACACTTCATCTTTTCATATGTAAATACCCATCATCATCGCTTGTGTCTAAGCAGTGGGGCTCTAGCTAGACGAATAAAGAAGAGGCTGCCGGCTTGCACGTTGCGTCATATTATAAGCACTTATATATATATATATATATATATATATATATATATATATATATATATATATATATATATATATATATATATATATATATATATATATATATATATATATATATACAGTGCATTTGTGTGAGTTCCATCTAGTTGGCCCATGTAGGAGAGACAAAGAGACATAAGGTGAGCCCACAGTTTGATGCACTCTCCTTCTGAATGACGTCACGTGCTGTTTATTTCGGCTGGCAAACTCACCTGTTGCGTTCCCGTACGTGTGATCGACGCGTGGTCTTGCCATAGTAGTCTTCGTGTTTCCACCACCCAACAGCCATGAAAAACGAGTGGAAGTGAATCGCAGGCTTTTCCAGGAACACCAGCCATCCTCGAAGTCACAGAAGGTATCATTTTGAGCTGCGATTTGGAAATATGAACACCATTTTTTCTTTGTTCATGCTGTCAAACACGTCTATACTGTAAACCTCCGCCTTACAAGTAAAAACATAATCATGTAAGATCTTCCAAAAGCGTGACTCTGGTTCACTTTTGAATATTTTTACATGGTTTAGTTCTCTATTGTTGATATTTGTTAACCGCGAATCCTATAGGTTTCGCAGATCTCTACGACTGCACAAAAACGGGTTATTGTATATTCTATGCCAGACTTTCTGGACGCTGCACTCAATCATTTCATATCCGGACCTGAAGTATTCTGAGCCGTCGCTTCAGTGCTACCTTTTTTTCCTCTCGTATTACTGTGTGGAAAAATATTTATTCTATATAGCTGTGATTTCAATGTGGCCGTAGTGGGCAACACATAGCTTTTTCAAAAATATATTAAAATTTCTGAAAAATTCAGTACTGCATGACGTGCCGTATAGGTATGTGTTCGTTCCTAGAAAAGGAATGCATCCTCCTTATTCACTCGATTTTATTTTTCTGGACATCTACACACTCTTCGAACCCAACAAACTACATCGCATGGCGGGATGATTGACAGCACTCGTTTAGTAAATGTATGGAGGTCGATGACACACTAGCTTTGAAGAAAGGGCGCAATTACACAAAACAATAATAATAATATTAAATGTGAGGAATTAGTCATGCCCAGACACGCGCAGATTGGTGATGCGGTGCAAGTAAATATTCATGCTTGGACCCAATGGAATGATATTCCTTTGAGAAGCCTTTATGGTAGCAGTTTTTGTTTTGAACAAGAAAAAAAAATTTAAATTTAGTAACCGTCACCAACCAAGAAGCAAGGCCTCTATGTCCACCTCACTACGGCGCGCATCTTTGGGGACACTGGGGTTCTTTAACGTGCACCTAAGTCTGAGCACACGGGCCTACATTTCCGCCTCCATCGGAAATGCAGCAGCCGCAGCCGGGATTTGATCCCGTGACCTGCAGGTCAGCAGCCGAGTACCTTAGCCACTAGACCACTGTGGCGGGGCTCGGGGCCGACTGCCGCTTTTGTTTCATACGCTACGCTATTCGGGACAGAGCTGAATATCGCATCAGGAATCGCTTCAGTGATGCAGCACGTACCAAGTGCGGAGCATCTTTTGGTCGTATTCCTCTGGGAGCCCGTAAAATAAGCGTGGTGAATGGTGAATATACGGATTCCATGTCATACTTTGCAACGAGAACCCGTACAATGGAAAGCAAAAATTGTAAGTATATGGGATGGTGGAGGTTAGCACATGGCACTCTACTTTTCGTTATTTCATTGTAGCGAAGGTGGAGTTCTCAACCAACTTCTTAAACTGGTGCGGGAGATTCACAAGATATTCGTTCATAAAAATAACAAAACATGCTGGTTTGTCAAGGGATCGAAGCTAAATAATATAAATGTATGCTGTGTGAATTTGTTGTGCTTTTATGCAATAGACGAAGTTGAAGTGTTTAGTCCTATATTTAAACTGCTAAATTAGAGCAGTTCACAGTCATGCTATCCCTAATCAATTATCTACATTGTTATGTAACAGACCGAAAAACCGACTGTACCAATCATTCCAATGATATTCAAATAATATCAGCTCACCACGTTGGCCTTGACAGTCCCGAAGCTCTATGCCATCAATGGCGCAATATGATTTGAAGTAACTGCGTCCTCTTAGGGCACATTGGATTATCACCTGCATATAAGAAGTTTCTTTTAAAAGAGATAATCCACACATACTTTCAAGATTTTCAAACTATATTTTTTACATTTCATGGAATAAATTCTTTGTAGAGTTCAACCTCACTTACTGACCTCAAGTTTCTGCAAAAAATTTGTTACTATGAGACGCAAATGTTCAGGGATGTTAAATTAAAAAAACCAGCCGCTCATTTAGCTATAGGCGTGAGGACAGGCACAATTCCGCGACATATCAGCTTCGCTATGGCAAACAACTGATGCATTACAGTACGAAAAGATTGGTTTGAGCTGAAGGTTCGTACATGCGCATGCACTAACATTTCTGCGAAATTATAATTACTCTTTGACGCTTAATATTCCGCATATTAAACCACATCACTTTTGAAAATTGAACGTTGATGTCTAATAAGTGGTATTCTTATAAACAGACCATGCTGTACAAGGCGTCCAGCACAACGCTTCAAACTTTTTACAAAAAGCGTTTGCAAAACTGCGCCTATAAGAAGTCTTATTAGGAATATCAACGCAGTATAGTTCATTCTGTCTTTTGCCTTTCATACATCCTATTTACAATAAGTAGACGCAGCTCTCTGAGACACTTCTCTTTTTTAGTACACTAACCCTGAAGTCATTTTGTTGTTTGAAGGATATTTGCTTCGTAGACCAAGATCCTCTTGACAACTCGTTCGTGGGCCACGTCCAATGAGCGTCCGGCGTACCTAGCCGAAGGGGGGGGGGGGGACAAGACCAATCAGGCTTGCTTCAAAGGCATAAAACATGAACCAGTTACTATAATCAATCGTAGTTGTCGAGTTCCAAGAAGGGTTTTCGCTGGTGTATTCCGATTCATTCATTTGAGTACTTTCTCATGTAGTCTGTTTCTTTTTATTGCGTAAAAGAAGTTACTGTAACGCACTGCATCCTGAAACACGTGTTTTCGTCTGTGTGTGCATGTGAGCGTTTTTTTCTGTGTGTTCTGGTATACGTCTGTGTGCTAAACAAATTTATAGCAACAAATTTAATTGTTATGTGAATTAAGGCTGGCAGCTCACCCTTAAGTACTCGTCTCGCGTAAATATACATAAGGCAGGCTTAAGCGAATATGGCCGCCCCAAGGGCAGAAGATTTTGTTGCTGTCTTTATTGTTGTAGGCTTTGCAGCCATTTCTTGATGTCAGCCGAGGTTAGCGCGTCAGTGCTTGCGGCCACGTCGTTATGAGCAGAGTTCGAAGTTGCTGCTGGAATGACGACAGCGCATCCCCCCCTCTTCCCCAGTGCCACCGCTTCAAGTTTATTCGCGGGGCATTACGTCTCTTTTCGACAAGCCATCTTGGCCAGGTCTAGCTCCTGGGGAGACAATATGTCACGTGCCTTTAGTAGAACTTGATGACCGGTTCTTATCTTAGCTTCAGCCGCTCTCATCACCATTGCCTGCACTTTTACTAGCACGCAGAACATATGTTGCCTGGGTCGGTCCTACTGACTTAGGCGCATCACGGGGACAGCGATGGTGACGGCTAAAACCCCCTGAGATTGCACATGCCCTTGCGATAACAATAATTGCTACATGTGGATAATTTGGCACAATCGCGATTTCAACAGCCTGAACAACATTGAAAAATTTCACCGAAAAACTACAGTTTGTGAATACCTTCAACTGTACGTAGTTCTTTGAGATAAAGGTAGCGTGCATTGACGGAACATGTAGCCGTCCAAAATACCGCGGGTAAGGCAATTTGTGAACGAGCACCAGAAACAAATAAAACTAATGCAAATATGGTTTATTTAAAACATAAACCCTGTACACCCATGCAAAAGCCCGAAGCATTATACACTAATATACGAAATAAGCTCGTAGTGGCTTGTACGTAAAACACGTAAACACAACCCACGTCAAGTCAAGTTTATTTCCAACAACATCAATTCGGAGGTTTTTAGGCGAAAAGATGTCAGAGACATCTTGAGAGAGCCCAAGAACCCTTCAAGAGCAGCAGGCACGTTACAAAAATATCACGTAATTCACTGTACATGCAAAGAAAAATTAAAGCTTAGTTCTTTTTCCTTTTAGTGAACAAAATAAACACACAATTCCACATGGGTCACAAATCTTGTACGCACATGCGCAAAAACAATTTTTATACAAAGGAAGAACACGTGAAAAAACATAATAACATAAGATATCTAGTGCTATTTGAGCAGTTTCTATATCTGTAGCAACATACTTCGCACATTTTTCTTGAATTTACGTTCAGGCAGTTCGAAGTCAATACCAGTTAAAAATTTGTTCAATACTGTTGGTATATGGTGGTGTAGAAGGCATACTCCGTAACGTGAAGCGAGAAAAAGGAACTGGTCTTACTTGATTTCGGAGAGTGTATCGGCATGAGCTGTCAACTGAATGCCGATGAAGTTTGTTTTTCTGAGTATAAAGTATTAGTTTATATGCGTGAAGGTGACGTGCTCTAATAAGATCATGATTTATAAAGAGCTGATGAATACGTAGTTCGCTAGGAAGCCCGTAAAAATTTTTGAATATTCTAAGAACTTTCTTTCTGTAACATCTCTAGTTTGGTGAGGTTCTGAGCAGACGTTTTTGCCCATACTAGGGCGCAGTAAGATAACCGAGAATAGAAATGGGCGTAGTATATAGCCTTTTTGAGTCATAATGGTACAAGGTCTGATAGCTTATACATGCAACCTACAGTTTGGCCTAATTCAGAGACTAGTTTTGACACATGCGTATTCCACGACATGTTTTCCTTAAACCATACTCCTAGAAATTTTTGCGTTTTAACACATTCCAGCATGCTGCCCTGAAAGTAGAACTTCAGATCAGTGCATGGCTTAATAGGAGGCCTAAATATAACATATTTTGTTTTACTTGCGTTTAAGTCAAGCTTGTTTTCATGGAGCCTGTCACGGACGGCCATTTTTGGCGACACCACGTCACGGCAATTAACGGGCGCCGTACTGCCCCACTGACCTTGAGAGCGGCGGGCGCATGAAAGGGAGCCGAGAGGGACAGAATGGGATGCTCTTCTTAGAACGTCGCCGCCGACGGTTAATCCTTTTGTAACTGTGGCGGCGTCTGCAAGGTCGTAGAAGGCCGCGGTATACCCCGAACAAGGATTAGGCTACAAGACGCACCAGCTGAAAGCCAAACGTTTGACCGTTCCCACGGGGAAAAGCGTGAGAAACGCTCTGGTGGCCAAGCCATATGACAACAACCCGACAGGTTGTCACTCTCGCTAGTTGACGGCCCTCTCCCAATTAAAAAAGGGGTGGGGTCTCAAATATTTTTGGGGCGGAGTTTCTCATCAATTAAACGCGCATGATTGGACGCCGGGTAGAGGTCTCTTGTCCCCAAAGAAGAGAGTGAGGAGACACGACGGGGATTTAAGCGCAGGATTTTGCCCTGCTAGGCAGACTAGTCGCTGACCAAGATGGTGTAGAAACAGATCAACAAGCATCTCTTCTAGAAGTTTTTAGTGTGGCTCTGTATCGGCTGGCCACCTAAACTTAGCCGTTCGTCTAGTTGTGACGCGATATTAACGTCTGCAACGTAGACATCGGGACTTCGCCTCGAGTTAGCTCAACCTGCTCGAAGTCACCTGCAAGCACTAGCCTCCCGGAGCCACCAGCGTGGCAACACCGCCGACATCGCAGTCATGCCAGAACTCTCTTCAACTTCTCGCATCCGATCGCCGGGGACACAACGCTGCCGGTCATCACACGTATGCCTTCACCTGTTTATTTCTTCGAACCTCCCCTCCGTCGTTCTATTCTTGTTAGTTTGTGTAGTTTGTAATGGTTCTATCTCGTAAGCTGATTTATTGTTTTTGTTATATATTTCTTTAGTTGTATCAAGTTGATGTATTTTGTTAGTTGTATTGAAGTGTTGTATTAAATCCCGTGTGCTGCAATATCACCACAGTAAAGTTGCTTTGTTTTCTCACGTCTCTGATCTCTTCACTGTCTCTGCTTGCGTACGGAACGAACCAACCTGCTGTCATTCCCGTCGCCGACTTCGCGCTGGCGACGCTAGAGTGGCAGCTTGTAACAGAGCCACAGTTCCAGGTGTCTTAAATAATTAGATACAGTAACTTGAAGATCCTTAAGATAAAGGTCGGCGCTACTTTTTTTCTGTACGTGTGTGTCATATTTTCTTCCAATATGAACTGAACTAATGCAATGTCAGGCCCTGGATGACCAAATCAGCCAACCTACAACACTTATGGACAATAATATACCTGGCACACGCCTACACCTTAGCACAGCGCGTGTTCTGTCACCCTGGCGACACCATGGTTGTAATCCTACACGTTAAAGAGGCCCTCTAAGACTTTTCACGATTTCATAGTTTTAAATATTTTTCTGGCTGGCTGCGTACACTGATGGCTTAAGAGATAAGTCCCACAAGAACCGCAGCGGTAGGGCCACGCAGTGCAAAATATTCAGCGTAGAGATATCAAAATACAAGGAAATGAATGCTTACCCTCAAGATGCTGACCCTGGACACTGCTACGTAAATCAACTTCAGCGTATGACACCTAGCTTCAATTGACGTTAACTCGACATGACGGCTGTATTGGGTAAACAGCACAGCAACCACTATTGACGTTTCACGAAGATTAGCGGCTATTTGAAAGGAATTCCGAAACCTGGCGTAGCTCGGTGGTAGAATGTTTGACTGCCACGCAGAACGCTTAGGTTAGATTCCTGCTGGAACCCTCAAATTATTATTTGCGTTCATAGGGAAGTCATCGCTGCATAAGTCAGGTTTTTCTTAACACTGAAATTTATTCTATGCCTTCGTTGGGTCGATGCTACCGATGGCTTAGCACAATCTTAGCACGGCAATATTATACGGTGTGTCTTTTTATACTAGAAAGGGCATACATAAGTAATGGCAAAAAATGCAGCGTTTATTACGCTGCGCTGACAATGCCACACTATGCAGTAAAATGAGAGTTTCTTACGCTTTGTTAAGATGACAGGTTGCTACTACCTACTTTGCTATCTACAAAACACGGCCTCCAAGTTTCATTTTCTGAGATTACTGACAGATGGCTCTCATGTCTAACGCAGTCCCTCCCAAATGCCATTCACTGTTTTCCTCGCGAAAAACATCAAATGGATGCTTTATTCTATTCACTGTCTCCAGACAAGAGACTATTGTCTTTCGACATTTGCAGTCTAACATGTAGATGAGGGGCCAATTTTTTTTTTTTGTAATTGAGGTCCTCAAGAAGCCAATTGCACGCTCTAGCTCTTACTTGCGATTTAAAAAAGTTTGTTGTGCATAGTTGAAGGTACTCAGGGGCTCATTACGACTTTTAAATACGTGCACTAAACACTGTAACGGTTATAAAATATCCCTCCTCATCATTCTTTTACAAGTTTCGAATGTTTACTTGCACATTTGAGCAACATTTCTCGACGCGAAATTTACTTATTTATTTATTTAGTTATCATTACTTAAACACTTAAAGATAAAGCTGGATAGAATAAGGAGAAAGGCGGGGAAGTTAGCCAGGGTTGAGCCCCGTGGGCTACCCTGAACTTGGGAAGGACAGTGTGGGGCAAGGAAAGTTATAGAGGAGAAGAAAAACGTCACTGACAGGGCCAACATGCAACAGTTTCACGTTTCACATCACAAGCGATGAAACAAGCCAGTGTCTATTAGGAAACGCTAAAGTGCTTTCGTTGCCTTTCGGATGGGCAGCGCCATGGTAATTGGGACCTCCAAAAAGGGTTTTAGCAGGGGGGTATGCCTTTGATAAGTTTACAAATTGGCAAGCACAATAAAAACAAAACAGAAAGTATGTACAAGGTTTCAAAAGAAAAAAATACAGAAAAAACAACAGTTTGCAATAAATGAGCACAAGGGGATCCAATAAAATTAAATAAGCACTGTATTCAAGATGAATTTCTTAACATGAAAACCAGCGCTAGCTTTGGCCGCGTTTTGTCCCCTTATTCGAGCAAGTTTCTCTCTTCACACTGAATTTACCCTTCTTTTCTGATTTCATTCGAGAAAGGTACTCGAACTTACCCTGTACAAACACATGAAGGAGATATGAATTCTCGTCCAAGGAGTTCGGAGGTAATCGATAGCGAAAGTCGAGGCACTGGGTTTTGTGGCGACCAGTAAGCTTTGGTGACGTCAGCATAGCACTTGTCTCGTTACCTTTCAACTCCAAATACAGCAGGCCACCTGAGAAGAAGTTGGATGCCCACCATTATTCAGCGTAGGGCATCTCGATGTCATCGCCGCCACTTCCAGAGTAAAGACACCTTCTGACGCACTTCGCTGGCGTTTCTTCGCAAAAAGACAAGTTGAATCTGAAAGGTAAGGTGCAAGGCAGAAGAAGGCACCGACACAGCTCTGCAGAAGCGTTCGTGCGGAAGTTACCACACCAGTTTTTCTTGTGTGTGTGTGAAACTTTGTATTGGTTGACATGCGAAACGCCACCGGAAGTTTTACTTCCCACATAACAGCAAGCCCAGAAGAATGTTATTAGAACAGTTTATTTGTGTGCCGCTGTGTAATGGTTCACGTGTAAAACGCCAGCGGATGTTTCATATTCCATATAACAGCGAACACAAAATGAACAAATGAATGAATGAATGAATGAACTTTATTAAAGTCCGGCAGTTTTACCGGGCGAGGTGGGGGAAGAGTGGATTAACTTCTGTCCCTTCCCACTCTCCGTTGATTATGATGGCACGGTGCCTCAGGTGACCGCTCGAAGTTCTTGGACCCGGGCGGCATCTCCAGCTTGCCGGGCGGCCCAAAGCTGGTCGGCCAGCTCGTCGCTGGTGAGAGCCGCCTCCCAGCGGCAGCACAGCGGACGCCACCGATCGGCAACAGTGACCGCAGCCGCGGCGGAGGCCGACCTCTACCCTCGCGCGGTGTGGCAGCAGCAATTGGCCTCGGAGTTCGTCCCTGCCTAACATGCGTCGCGAAGGGAGCGGCGGCAGTGACTTTTAACTTTTCCAGCTCACTTCCTAAGCATGTGCCGCAGTGTGGCCCTTTCCCCGCACGCTTTACTCGCATCCGTCAGGTAAAGGTGAGGATAATACAGGCTAGGGTACGTATTTGTCAGTAATAACCTCAGAGTTACGGCCTGTTTTTGTCCAATTTGCTGTGTAATGGTGACTATTTGCGTCTGTTCAGTCTGTGACGTCGTGTAATGTTGTTGAACGTGGTCAGGCGATCAGCCCACGACCATTCTTGTTGTTGTTGTGTAGATAGTGCATCTCCCCGCTCTTGGGGTGAAGGCGGCCACCGAATCGGCCGCGGCTTGGTGAGTGAGATCTCCAGCCGCAGTGTGTGCCACCTGGTTACCTGCGAGCGGGACACTGGTGTAAGCCGGAGTCCACAGAAGGCAGACATTCGCATTTTCAGTTTTGAGGTACGAGGACGACGACGTCGAGGCCATCGCTTGTCGATGCTCGCCGCCGTCCTTGTCTCCATTACTTGATTGTAGTATCCAGGCCGCCAGACACGAGATGCGACCGCCCGCGAAGCCACGGATGGCAGCTTGCGAGTCTCTGATCACGACCGCAGCCTCCAGTGCTTCGGCCAGTGCAAGAGCGATCATCGCCTCTTCGGCCGCCTCTGTATGTTCCGTACGCACCGTGGCGTTTACGAGGCGTTTGCCAGTGCTATTCACAACGGCGATAACGTGAGTATGCCTTTGCTCTGGGTATCGCGCGGCTTCCACGTACACCGCTGTGTCGCTGTCGCCATACATTATTTGGAAGTCACTCGCTCTTTTGTTGCGGCGCCCGACGTGGTGTGTCATTTGCATGTTCTCGGGGAGCGGTGGGACGATAAGACGGCCGCGAACCATTATAGGAACCATCGTCTTCTCCCCGCAATCCGTGTGGTAGATTATGTCTAGAGATTCGAGGATGCACCTTCCCGCACTGGTTGATACAGGCCCGTGAGCTCAAATTTGGGTGTCCGTTAAAGAACCCCGGGTGGTCTAAATTTCCGGAGCCCTCCACTAAGGCGTCTCTCATAATCATATGGTGGTTTTTAGCGTTAAACCCCACCTATCAATTAATCGATGCCCGTCTTGGACTTGGACAATCGCTCATATTGTGAAGTGTTGTGTGCCTCGATCAGTTTGTCCAGGGTGTTGTTCAGGCCCAGCTCAAAGCTCAAAAAACATATCGGTGCTCGTGTTGACAGGTATGCCAACCGCCCTCTTGAACGCCTTGCGAATTATGCAATTGACCTTGTTCCGTTCGGACGTCAGCCATTTTAGACAAGGGGCGACGAACGTTATACAACAGATCACGTACGCCTGTACGAGACGGATCACACAGCTTTCCCGAATACCGCTGCGTCTGTTCGTTAGGCGGCGTAAGAGTTTAATCGTGTCATCTACCGAACGTTTAAGTCTTCGAACCGTCGAACACAGTAAAAAAGTTATTAGGCCAGTTCATTTGTGTGCCGCTGCGTAATGGGTCACATGTGAAACTCCAGCGGATGTTTCACATCCCATTCAACAATGAGCACCAAAACAAAGTTACTAGACAAGTTGATTTGTGTGTCGCTGTGTAATGGCTCACATTTGAAACGCCAGCGGATGTTTCACATCAGAATGGACAGCGAGCACCGAAAAAAAAATGATTAGAAATGTTCATATATGTGTCGTTGTGTAGTGGTTCACATGCGAAACGTCACCAGACATGTTTCACATCCCACATAACCGTAGGCACAGAAAAAAGTACTTAGACCATTTCATTTGTGTTGCGGAAACGCTAGCGGATATTTCATAATTAATCAAAACGTGAGCACAGGAAAAAAGTTATTAGACCAGTTTTTTTTGTGCCACTCAGTAATGGCCCACATGCGAAACGCCAGTGGATGTATTACATACCACTTAACAGCGAGCACTGAACAAAGTTATCAAAGTAGTTATTTTGTGTGCCACTATGTTAATGGTTGACATGCGAAATGCTAACGCATGTTTCACATCCCATTTAAGAGCGACCACAGAAAAATTTTATTAGACAAGCTTTTTTGTGTGCTACTATGCAATTCTTCACAAACAAAACGCGGAGAGACATTTTCCTTTCTCTAAACAACAACAACAAAAAAGAAAAGTAAAAAAGAGGCTCAAGTGAAACGACACCATGGGATGCGACTGACAGCACCAAAATATGTCATGTAAGTTGATGACAAGTCGTAGCATCTGACCTTGCATTTTTTATAACTGACCATCAACATACCGCTCAATAAGTTTACACACTCACTAAATACATGAGTCACTATAGCTGCACAGCGTAATCATTTGGTGAACTTGCTATCGCAGTGAAGTTAAGGATTTTGTTAGAACAGGCACAGTGAACAGAAACTCGGCTCAGCTTGACTACGCCTATTCAAGCAAAATAAGTGTAGATCAGCCGAGTTAAGACAACGTATTGATAGTTCAGGCTAATTAGGCTTTGTCAAGCAAATCAATATATCTATGCAAACCAGTGGCAATCAATATTGTTCGATACTTAGTTATACTAATTATTGCACTGGCATAAGCAGAGTTAAGCTTAGCAAAACCTATTTAAGCCAATAAAGTTCAGCTTGATAAGTATTCGATGAGCCAGTCAACATTAGTACGTATTAGTCGATGCTGATGGACACTAATTAAGAGGAATGTTCTGTATTAGTGTGAACTTTGTGTGCTAATGCTAACCCGGTATCAATATGACCTAAGCTTGAGGTCGGACCCTATTGGATTAACTTGATATGTGGGGTTTAACGTCCCAAAACCACTATATGATTATGAGAGACGCCGTAGTGGAGGGCTCCGGAAATTTAGACCACCTGGGGTTCTTTAACGTGCACCCAAATCTGAGCACACGGGCCTACAACATTTCCGCCTCCATCAAAAATGCAATATTGGATTATCTTAACGCAGTTTAAATCGAATCAAGGTAATCCATAATAAACTTGTCCTGATCAAGCTAACCCTGAGCAAATCAATTTTGAGTTGAAAATGCCTAGCAAGTTCCACCACTGAGCACGGCTACCTTAAAATAATTCTTAAGAGCCCCGACGACGGATGCAATCCCCAACAAGTAGTGCTGAGCAATTTAATTTCGAATAAGTTGTCTAGCCAGTTGGAATAATGTGCATGACCTGTTCAAGATCCCCTTCATTTCGCGGAATGAATCTGATTCGTATTGACTCGACCAAAGCGTCGCCCAAAAATACGCATGAAGTTAGTGCCCTACCCAATTCAGCCAACGCTACGTAAACCCACACATGCCATCACAATTCTAACCGTGGGCTGAGCAGTTTTGCTACACATCAAGCTAAGAAAAAGCATTCAGGAGAATATTGCTGGAGTCATTTATGCTCTAGGATATTTGACATGACGTTTGTGTTATTATCAGAATACTATTTATATTCGTTATGCACTCTTCTCAGGCCGTGCGATTGATATCTATCAAGGTATTAAACGGCCGCTGGAGTATGATGTCGACGTCATGTGTGTCACAGTGTACATGACATGCACGATGAGATTTTCATAATATGAACAGTCACTTAAATTTGTCATTCACTAGAACGCGTTATTCAATGGTCGCTGGTTCGCTCCCTGCCAGCGGCTAGTTATTTCTCATCTTTTTTTTCTTCAGGTTTACACTACTATTATTACGAATAACATCGGCTATACTTTCAGTCCTATTTATATCGGTTAGTTCTCTATAATATTCTGTCTACCAAAGAAAAAAAAACAAGACAAAAAATTTCCACTTTCTTCTTTAACTTACCAAATTGTGTGGCGGTGGTGTAATCAGGACCCCTAAACGAAATCCGCTCTCGACTCTCAAGCTGCCATTTGCCGTAGCGCTCATTTCCCAGGTCGTAGCCGCAGGTTTCACCCCAGTCGAAGTCGCAAGAACCATCCCTTACCTCTGAAAGTTGTTTTTGAAATATAGTGGGAAGAAATTAGACATTATTTACATAAGAAATTGGTAAATTAGTGGTGCCAGCTAATGACACTGACGATGTTTTCCGTGCATTTCATGAATACTACCTAGTTCAAACAATAGGTACACCTATTAAAAGGCCAATAGCGTTAAAGAGCTCGTTTCGCAGAAGTTCCGGTGTCACCGTCAACATCGGCGTCGTTGGTTGAGATCAAAAAATTATCAACTTGTGTGTGACAGAAAAATCGACAAAGTGGCAAAATAAATAAATAATAAAATTCTGGTTGTTAAGGTAGCAATAACGTATTCTGCCACGAAGTCACGCGTCTGCTTGCAAATAAAGTGAAACCAATTTCTTCTGCTTGGAAATGCAGTGAATGTAGCTTGCATGCTTTACAAACATATGCGTACTGTATAACTGTATAACAATGCAACATGTAATATCGCAATAATAATTAATTGTACAAGCTACTTACATTGCGGTCGGGTGTCAGAACATGCGATTATCATGAACTCGTAATAGAAAGCGGGCCACCCTCTACTAAAGACACTCACGTTACAAGACCTTTGCCTTTGAGGAGATGTATTGAGCACATAGGAAGTTCTAAAAGATTTCACTCGCACAGTTGCCCGTGGTTTGAAGCATGCTACCAATTACACAGATTGCAATCGTATGCAAAAGCTCAACTCACACGACCATTTCAAACTAAGTACGCACTAGGAACAGGATACCGCTAGAAAATTCACCTCTTAAAGAGACGCGCACCAGGATCTAAAAAAAACAAAACAAAATGCCAGGCTTCTGCGGAAGGCACAGCGCAGCCACAGCAAAAGCTAGAAGAGCAGCCTTTTGGAGCCTTTTTAAAACACTCATTGGGTAACTGCTTCAATAACGCCGATAATTGTTTGCGTGACGTGTATAGCGAACACGTTGCAATCGGATTCATCATCATCATCATCAGCCTGACTAAGTCCACTGCAGGACAAAGGCATCTCCCATGTTCCGCCAGTTAGCCCGGTCCTGTGCTTGCTCCTTGCATTTTACACCCGCAAACTTCTTAATCTCATCTGCCCACCTTACCTTCTGTCTCCCACTCACCCGCTTGCCTTCTCTCGGAATTCAGTTAGTTACCCTTAACGACCAGCGGTTATCCTGCCTACGCGCTACGTGCCCGGCCCATGTCCATTTCTTCTTCTTGATTTCAGCTATGATATCCTTGACCCGCGTTTGTTCCCTAATCCATTCTGCTCTCTTCTTGTCTCTTAAGGTTACACCTACCATTTTCCTTTCCATTCCTCGCTGCGTCGTCCTCAATTTAGGCTGAACGCTCTTTGTAAGTCTCCAGGTTTTTGCTCCGTAGCTAAGTACCGGGAAAATACAGCTGTTTTATACCTTTCTTTTGAGGGATAGTAGCAATCTACCTGTCATAATTTGAGAGTACTTGCCAAATGTGCTCCACCCCCTTCTTATTCTTCTAGTTCCCGTGACATGTATTCTTCTAGTCTAGGCAGCCAGTCTTGTTTCAATCAAGAATTATTCTTAGACGGTGCTCCCATTGAAATTTTGAGGAAATACAAAGTGTTAGGCGTTACGTTATCAGAACACATGAATTGGACCGATCACGTTGAACTAATATCAAGATCGTTGTCATCTGCCGCTGGTGTGCTGTCTCGCTGTCGGCATTTTTTTCCTGAGAAGGTGAAGTTGCAAACATATTACGCCTTGTTTGAATCGCATCTTTACTATTGTGCGCTTGTATGGGCCACCACCTCGAAAGCTAATATTCGTACACTTCTTCAACTTCAAAGACGCGCGCTTCGACAAATAGCCAATGTACCCTATTTTCATCCTAGCGCTCAACGTTTTCAAAAACGTTGAGCGCTAGGATGAAATTGTACGTGCAACAAATCTTTACGAATACCGACTTTTATATTCATTTTGTTTCGGCTCCGACAATATCAAATCCTTCCTAAAACATACGTCACGACTCGAATACAAAAAAGTGACTCGTGCACTCGTAGCCAAGACAGGTGGTTAGTACCATTCAGACGCACAAATTATCTTACGCAGTCACTACGACATAGCCTACCTTCGTTGTTAAATAAAGTGCAAGGAGAAACATTTAATCCGAATACTTTGACTCGCAAACAAATTAGAGAATACTTTTGTAAATCGGAATGAACATATAAAAGACATCGTAATTACATTTTCGAATTTTCTGTTATATTATTTACTTCGTGCTCAGTGTTTCAATATACAAAGTATCAACATATTGTGCTTCATAGTCATATTTATAGCAGTGCTTTTCTTAGTGTTGTAAATACTATTGTTTATATGTATCACAATATACTGTCACATCTCTTCTCACATATGTATTACATTTCTATGTTATTTTTAAGTACCATGTGTTCATGGGAAATCACTAGTGTTATTCAACAGGTTGCAAGTTCCTAGTTTCAATTAAAATGGTGTATTATATTTGGATATATGCTAAACATCTGTATTTATGCTGGTTTTAGTGTTACTGCAGCCATGTGAGGGCCTTCAGGCACATTTAAGTTGTACTATGCAGCTTTTCGCCTGAAGGACCCCCAACAATTTCATTGAAAAATAAAAGCATTTCTGATTTCTGAGTTACTTCAGTCTCGTGGTTCGGCTCCGCGGCTATTACGTGCCCTAAGTAGACATAGTCTTTTACAACTTGAAATGCACTATTACCTACTTCGAAGCGCTCCTCTTTTCCGAGGTTGTTGTACATTACTTTCGTTTTCTTCAGAATCATTTTAAGACCTATTCCTTTCTGCTCTCCTTGTCTAACTACGTAATCATGAATTGCAATTCGTCCCCTGAGTTACTCAGCAATGCAATGTCATCGGCGAAGCGCAGGTTACTAAGGTTCTCTTCATTAACTCTTATCCCTAACTGTTCCCATTCTAGTCTTCTGAAAACCTCCTGGAAGCACGCGGTAAATAGCATTGGGGAGATTGTGTCCCCCTGCCATACACCCTTCTTGATTGGTATTCTGTTGCTTTCTTTATGAAGCACTATGGTAGCAGTTGATCCCCTGTAGATTTCTTCCACGATGTTTATATATACTTCATCGACGCCCTGAGTACGCAGTGTCTGCATGACGGTTGATATTTCTACTGAATCAAACGCATTCTCGTAATCTATGAAGGCTATGTATAGTGGTTGGTTATATTCTGAGCATTTATCTATTACCTGATTGGTCGTATGAATGTGGTCGATTGTTGACTAGCCTGCTCGAAATCCTGCTTGTTCCTTTGGTTGATTGAATTCTAGCTAATGTTTTTTTTTACTCTGTTAGCAATTACTTTTGTAAATAGCTTGTATACTACGGAGAGCAAGCTAATCGGCCTGCAATTCTTCAAGTCCTTGTCATCTCCTTTCTTATGTATTAAGATGGTGTTAGCGTTGTTCCAAGACTCTGGTACTCTTCCCGTCAGGAGACACCTCGTAAACAGGGTGGCTAGTTTTTCTAACAGAATCTGTCCTCCATCTTTCAGCAGATCTGATGTTACCTGATCATCACCAGCAGCTTTGCCTCTTTGCATGCTCTCCAAAGCTTTTCTGACTTCTTCTATCATTACTGGTGGGGTGTCATCTGGGTTACTGCTAGTTCTTATAGTAATAAAGTCATGGTTGTCCCGGCTACTGTACAGATCTCTGTAAAACTCCTCCGCTATTTTAACTATCCTATCCATATTGGTAGTTATTTTGCCTTCTTTGTCCCCCAGTGCATACATCCGATTTTTGCCTATCCCAAGTTTCCTCTTCAATGCTTTGACGCTTCCTCCGTTTTTCAGAGCGTGTTCAATTCTCTCAATGTTATACCTTCTTACGTCGAATACCTTACGCCTAATAATCAACTTCGAAAGCTCTATCAGTTCTATTTTGTCTGTTTTACTTGAGACGTTCATGATTGAACGCTTCTTAATGAGACTCTTCGTTTCCTGGGAAAGCTTGCCAGTGTCATGTTTAGCTACCCTGCCTCCAACTTCCACTGCACACTCCGTAATGATACTCGTCAGATTATCATTCATTGTATCTATGCTAAGGTTGGTTTCCTCACTAAGAGCCGAGTACCTGTTCTGAAGCGAGACTCTGAATTCCTGTACTTTCCCTCTCAGTGCTAGCTCATTGATTGGCTTCTTGCGTATCAGTTTCTGTCGTTCCTTTCTCAAGTCTAGGTGAATTCGAGACCGTACCATTCTATGGTCACTGCATCGTACCTTGCCAACCACTTCCACATTCTGCACGATTCCTGGGCATGCACTCATTATAAAGTCTATTTTGTTCTTATTTTTGCCATTAGGGCTCCTCCATGTCCACTTGCGGTTTCCTCGTTTTCGGTAGAAGGTATTCAAAATCCGTAAATTATTGCGTTCTGCGAATTCTAGTAGTAGCTCTCCTCTGGCGTTTCTAGTACCGATGTCATAATCTCCTACTGCCTGGTCTCTAGCCTGCTTCTTCCCTACCATTGCATTAAAGTCTCCCATCAGTATTGTATACTGTGTTTTTACCTTACTCATTGCCGATTCCACGTCTTCATAGAAGCTTTCAACTTAAGCGTCATTATGGCTGGATGTAGGCGCGTAAGCCTGTACCACCGTCATCTTGTATCTCTTATTCAGTTTATTTACGATACCTACCACCCTTTCATTAATGCTATAGTATTCCTCTATCTTGCCAGCTATATTTCTGTGAATCAGGAACCCCACTCCCAGTTCTCTTCTGTCAGCCAAGCCCCGATAGCAAAGGACGTGCCCATTCTGTAGCACTGCATAGGCCTCATCTGTCTTTCTAACCTCACTGAGCCCTATTATATTCCATTCAACACCCTCTAGCTCCTCGAATAGTACAGCTACTCTTCCCTCACTAGATAAGGTTCTAGCATTAAACGTTTCCATGTTCAGGTTCCAATGGTGGCCTGTCCGGATCAAGAGATTCATACGATTCAGCGATTGGATTACATACGCGAAAAATCAGGTGTGATTTGCTTGCTGCACTGCTTCGACATGCAGCCACCGTCCGTTCTTCCTTGTATCACATGAATACAATTTGCGATCGACCCATCACACTCTATTTTGTGTGTTTTCAACTTCGCAAGCGGCGATGACAGTGCGTTGCCGAGAAGTGCGCAATCGGGATAGGCTCCAGCGTTTAGTACTGACATTGTTCACGTGCTTCTAAGAACTAGGGGGTGAGCAGGTTGTATCTCGAGGACGAAAGAAAGAAGAAAAACATCCCCTCTTCTTTGAAGGCTGGGTGGCGAGTCGTCCTTTAAAGACAAAGCCTAAAGACCACAATTTATTTCACTTCAGCGATTGTTTAAAAATGACACGGTTTGTCCTGTTTTCACTTGTTTCACCGCTGCATGGTCACTGGGACGACAAGACGGAAGCTTCTTGAATTCCAAGTATTGTTCGAGAGAAGCAACGCAGGTAAGGAATAGCATTTGGGGGCAAGCTGTCTTTGCCAAAGTGGTCACTTCTCAAAACTTCTTCAGCAGGCTGCGCGTGCGTAGACGATGGATCAGGCGCGATCGCGCATGCCCGTTCAGTGCCTGGGCACCTGTTATCTTTTGTTCCGCTTGGCGCAATCTAACTTTCCGATATCATTATCATGCATTGGCAATCTATTTAGGTCGCCGGACTGTGACTGACGCTGAAAAAGCCCGATAATTCGCTCACAGCAATGAAGCTCCTAACGGTAGCCTTTTGGCACAAGGCAACGTCTTCGTAGACAAAAAGTGAGGCTTTCTGGCTATTGAGATGCCGTGCATGTGCTGGGAACGCCACAAATTTTTAGTAGGCTTGTTCTTAAGGCTAGAGGCGCCGGATAAGTCATTTCAAATATTTCTGTGAACACAGGTGCAGGCGAAAATTGTTTTTTTAAACCTTAACTGGTGAGCTTCGACAGCCCAGTCGATAAGCGGCTTTTAACAAAGTACAGTGGCTAGTTCAACAAGAATATGTGCATGCCTGCGATGAACAGTCCTGTGCAGCTGTCGTCTGCCAGGCCGTTCCGGGAATCGGACATCAGGACGCTCGCCACGGTAGCTCACAGACTCGATGGTCAATGCCCACACGTTCACGTAAAGAAATGGGTTGTTGTAAATCTAACATAGCTATTTCATTCACCCTTCGCATAGCTCACTGTAAACGTCTACTTACCGGGGCACGCTTTCTTGTCCAAGCTCAAATCGTCAACGGCGAAAACTCCTTTCTCAGTGGACTTCAGCGTGTAGTAACGTATATCTATCTGTATTCATTGAGAAGAATAAGAAGACATAGTTACGTGATCTTCATCTTCCCACATTTCGAAACGCACACCTTGCCTCTTACTTGCTTTAAAGTCAATATTATGCTTGTATACGTTTGTATAAAAAACAACTGTCATGGAAGGCAGCAAGATCGACATGCATTATATATAATAAGTTCTTGTTATTGATAAAAAAAAAAGAAAGAAAGAACAAAACAATAAAAACCTACCACTAAACACAAATAAAAAGTACGGTGGTATTATCCAGTGAGATTAATATTCTAATAAAGTTTTTTCATTCTATTCCATCAATATTCTAACACGCGTTCTGCGTGAGAATATCGCATTCGTAATAACTTCGCTTCCATGATACAGGACTAGGACTAATGTAGGTAACATTATAGCCGAAGATACGAAACACCGAGAAAGATTTCAGTTCGTTCAGCAGACCGGTTGACCAAAGCTGTTTGCTCGGGGCAGCTACATTTGCTATGGAAATTTTTCTGCTACCAATATGTGATCTTGGCAATAACTATGTAATAAAAGTGGGCTTCACTAAATATGAAATTAGAAGGATAAGAAGCATTTTCATTCTTTTGGGGAAATATATGGCTTTGAGTCCATACTCTGCCTGCGGTATTGATGCACAGTTTCACGCAAGTTTTTGGCGCCTATTCTAAAACTCACAACAGAAAGCCAGTCATTGAAAAGCTTATTTTACTGATAAAAACCCTTAAAACCAACATACACTTCAGCCAAAGAACGTACAGTGCAAATGATTTGTGGCTCAGATAAGAACGCCGGTGCATGTCTGCCGACCACATACGATAGTTATAGCACGAGAACAGAACGATGACAAAAGGACAAGAAGACATTCCGTTCTCGCGCTATAACTATCGTCTTGTCATACCAACAAGCCCAAACCATGACGCTTCTAAGTAAACAGAAACATTCGATTGAGGTTTTGAAGACCATTGAAAAAACAATCTTCGATTTTCTACAAACTCTTGAAAATTGAACCCAAGCAAGCATTTTAACCTTATCTATAAAAACATGTCGCATCTTTATGAAAACGAAGTTATAAATAACGAAAACTGGCAAAAAAGACGTAGACTGTGTAACGGCTACATCTAGCGAGCAGAGAGAAATAGCTGCAATTATCAATATTTTTAGGTGACGAAGTTTTTGGTATGTTTAAGGGACAACAGCTCGACAGAGGAACCGCAAGAATCACCTAAAAGCGAAACATTGTACGTATGCGTTTGCATACGAGTAAGGTTTCTATACTGGCGTAAATACTAATTGCAGTATTTTCAGAAGTGCAGTCGAAGCGTGCTCTCTGAAGGGACTCTTTATTTACTCCAGCGCACACAGAGCATCAGAATCACAAGTCAGAGTCACAGAAGTTAGACAGTGAGGGGCGTCACTAAAGCAGCTGTGTGTGAAGATACCTTTCACTAGAAGGGTACCTCGCGCTGGGTATTCGAGGCACCCTAGGTGACCGTCGTGGATATAGGAGGTAATGCTGGTACCCCCCACAAGATGTCACGACCGTTTTTACCCTTAATAGCAGTTGTATGGGTTGCGACATTAGCTTGTTTCGATGATAGCACTGTCATTCTTCCGAACTATGCTTCTTGCTTCTGTGAATGAGACAGGGAAATCACTCAAAATAACACCAGATTACCCTGATTGCAATGAATGTTTTCCGTTATGTAGAATGATTTGGAGCTAGAAGAGCACTGCTCTTGAGTATTCCTGCTTCATGCGCAGCTTTTGCTGATGTGTGTGGTTGAAAAGCAGCGTATATTCCGGCACTTTATTTTGGGGGGATCCGGCTGTTCTTGCAACGAGCAGTGTGTGGTGCTCTTGGCTGACGCGCGTCCGCTGCCGTATGGGCCACGATTGAATGCTATGCGCGGGACGGATGAATTGCAACTTCTGTGTTTTCATATCCATGAAGGCTTTCAAGTCAGCACTTGGAAGGTGAATCAGCGTCCCATTCACTAGTTTTGTGTTGAGGACATCTACAATGTATTCCGCGCTTTCATTAACAATGTGGCGTAGCATAAATGGTTTAGTAAGGTTGCGTGATGCTTCACGATGCCCCCAGTTCCATCGCAAGCATTTTTGCCGCGCCCCGCTGTGAAAAACAGCCATTGAACTGAGGTGTATTTTGCCATTTCAAGTGTGTGGAGCTAGTATCTGTTCTTGAAATGGCTCGCGGCACCGTCACTTAATGTATGTGACAGGCGCATTTTAGGAAGCAACACCCTCGATCCACTCGTGCACCAATGTGACAGCGTAGCATGCGTGGGTGGTGCAGCTATTCCAATTACTCACCGAAGGAGTCTGTGTCAAACTTCCTTCACAAATAGTTGTGCAAGCAGTCGTACCAAGTTTTGTGCAGTGGAGTTACCTGAACACGGCCGTCATTTGAAACGCGAGCCGAACCGGACTACTTCGCGGAGGAGAAAAAGAGCAGTAGCTCCACCCCCGTATCTTCCCTATAGATGGATGGATGGATGAAAATTTTTCTTGGGGTCTTGAAGGATTCCATCCCAGTTTTATAGGGGTAGGATAGAGTTTCCTAAAATTAACTGGAGAAACTCTGGTGCTGCGCTCGTTCAGCGACCATGGGAACGACGGGTACTACACGGATTCGTCTAGTCTTCGTACTGCTGGCGGTGAATCACAATGGCAGCTTCGTTGATTGCTCTTTCCGGTTTTGTTTCGAAACAAAGAATGTACACTTTTGAACATTGTGACCCGATTTGAAATGGTAAGCACAAAAGAATTAGATGGTGAAGCGTTACCGCAGAACGTGTGCTTGTTTCGTTGGAAAACAGCTCCAAGCCACACGTTCACACGCGGAGCCAGAAGTACGAAAATTAGAGAAATCTGTGAAGTGCCCATCATTTCCATGCTCGCAGAAGCACCGTACGTTGCAGCTCCCATATACACTAGCACTAGAGTTCTCTCTAGTGTATACATAGGCAACTCTATGGCTTTCCCTTCATTACCACAGAAAGTTGTTCTAGTGTATAGCCCTACAGCTACAATTTTTACATGCGAAGTAGCTTATGACGGAGTTCAATCCAATGTGCCTGCAGCGTGACCACCCTTACCTCGCATGCACTAACTACCCTCCCTATTGCATGAGCGTGAGGAGGTGGGAGGAGTCTGCCCTGTTCTCGAGTGAGCGGCACGAGGAGATAGGGTGGAGTGGGGTGGCGTGAGGGATGCCTCCGTTCCATACACCACACGGCAGCGTCGTCGGGAAACCACTACGAATGAAACGCGAGCTCCACGTGCCCGAAATGAACCCAATCGTAAAGGCAGCGTCAGCAAGCAAACCCCACCGTACGCAACACCGAAGTCGAACCCAAGCGTCAGCCTCGAGCCTACGCGTCGGGTACGGACAGATTACCCGAATCCATCGGCCGTGCAGAAGGCCTCGCTGGACAACTTCAATGCCTGTGCTTCGACGATGCAACCTCCAATAAAATTACTCTATATATCGTTAAAGGAGACCATGACACGATGCGAAGCAGTACAAGAGCTGCACACCACCTTAGCATCGGTTTGACTATAGGTGTCTATATTAACCACATAAGAACATAAACACAACGCAGACAGCAACATTAAAAAAACACGCCATAATAAGCGAAACGTTGACGAAAACACTTAGTTGAAACCGATGCAAACGCAGTGTGCACCTCTCGCACTCCTTCGCATCAGCTCATAATCCCCTTTAGTAGAAAATGGTGTAATTTTTCTCGGGAATAGCGTAAGTGGGGAACGCGGTGCTACAGCCAGGTGAGGTAGGCGCGAATCGCGTAGCGATTTTATGAATTAGCTCCTTAAAATGCCCCTCACCAGGTTTCACATTTTTGAGCTGGCGAACGCAAAGCATACGCTAAGCGTTCAGCATCATCTCTGCCAAAATTTCGCAACGCCACGCATCGCGAAAAAGGGTCGACTTTCATGACGAACGGAAATGAACGAACCGGAACTACGTCACCTTCTGTTCCATGGGCGATGCCACACTGCATTTTTACGGGAGGTTTCCACCTATAACTTATCTTAGCTGACTATGAGAGCGCTGTTGGTTTTTTTTTTACCGGAACCTTACCTAAAAGATGCATCGATTGTTCTGTGGGTGGATTACATTATCCGAATTCACGGCAAACGACTGACAGCCGTATGAACTACTGCATGCGTCCTATTCAGCTATGGCCTCCGTTATCAGCTATAACTCCACTTCACTGCGGGACCTGCCCGCAGTGGCCACGTTTTCAGAATCAGCACACTTGTTCAGAATCACAATGTGCCCGGTTGGTCACTCCGCTGCTTTTGCGAGCAAAATAATAATTGTGTTCAAATATAACATTACTCACAAAGGTATTCGAATTCAGCAGACAACAAATGGCGACTAGACACTGAAAGCTTCTTCGGAAGAGCTTTACCTTCTTTTTCAAATTCCTTCCTAACGAGAACTGCCATGTGTTAGCAATTTTTTTTAATACAAATATACTGAAGCAACCACCTTTCCAATGCGCATATATATCCAGCACTGTTGACGATAGTGCTTCATTTATGTTCATTCTTTATATGTTTAGCCCCACCAAGCTGGTGCAGCAGCTAAGATACTTGACTGTTGACCCGTAGGTCGTGGAATCGAATTCCGGCTGCGGTGGCTGCGTTTTTGATGGAGGCAAAAGTGCTGTAGGCCCGTGTACTCTAATATGGGTGGGCGTTAAAGAACCTCAGGTATTTGATATTTCCAACAACCTCCACTATGACATCTCTCATAATCATATTGTGGTTTTGGGACGGTAAACCCAACATCCTAATCAATCATTACTCTTTATATTTATGTTATGGGGTTTCAGCCATAAAACATTTCAGCACCGCTAGCTGCAGACAGTGCCACAGCATCTGGAAAGCTTCAATTCGCAGGTTGTTCAGATTTTTCTACTAAAACTAGGTGAAGCACGGTGCAATTGATGTTTACTCGAGAATTCACGGTTCCACCCGTGTCTGGTGATAACACTGATAGATTCGATCACCGATTTATGAATCCTGACAAACTGATCAGAAGGGCTTTTGAAATGCTATTTTCCCTGGAAGTCTGGTAGAAATTAAATGCGCTAGTACCCTAAGCGGCCAGGACAAAAGCGATTATTTTCTGCTCTAAGGGCAAAACTGTATCATATTGTGAGTCTTTGACTTATGGTTCCAAAAATATAGAAATCGTACCAGCATTCAAAACTTTTCGTGTTTGGTTTTTTAGAAACACTGTTATTGTTTGCGCAAATCAGTCACGTGTGCTTAGGTGCCTCGCGTTTTATTGTTTTTTATACCGCGAAAACTAAGTTGTTCTTGTCGATATCAAGCTGTTGCTCTTGAAATCTTTGTTTACATCACAAGCTACTTATTGTTTACTTGTATAGGGCGTTGGCACGCGCACAGCCTTAAAAAAGCTCCACGTTTAACGGGAAAATGCTTTACGCTTCGTGTACAACTTAAAGATCATCCTTCTGCAGAACTTTTCCGAGCTGCTGATATTCCAATGGTTTTCAAAACCCTTAGTTCTGGCACCTTGTTCTTCGCTGTCAGTATGAATTGAATAAATGCATGAACTTTATTTGAAGTCCGGCAGTTTTTTTCCGGCGATAATATATATATTAATGCTGGCCCATTCAGCAGAGTTTGTTGAATATTCTTTTTTGTATCCCTTATGGTTTGGGAAAACTTCGAAACCAAGAACACCACGCACAAAATACGGGGCCCAGATGCTAGGCATAACTTTGCCCTCCGTAATAAACCTTTTATCGCAAATGTTTTTTGTATTTCATCTTCAAGGCCGGCGCTGCACGCTTTCTTTCTTTGTGGGATAACTGAAATGTCAGTTTTGAGCTTTGTCTTTGATGTAGTAGTCTCCTTTTTTTCCTGAATTGCATGTATGTGTAGTGTCCTTTCAGTGACTAAGTGTCATCATAACCTATGCTTTCTTGTATTTTTATTTAAGTGCATAGCATGTGTTCACTACGAAACGGCAAGATTTGGGGGGGGGGGGGGTTTGGTGAATACTAGGGAATCGCTTACGCAGCACTTCACAACATTAAAAGAAATAAACAAGAACACAGCTCTACCCACCACGAATCGGTCGGTTCGATTCTCCGAGTACCGAACCCGTCGCCAGCGACCGTACATGTCCGGCTGTGAGTCAAAGAAGTTTCTGCTTGTGTGCGATTTCAGATGGTCTACGCTGAACATGGCCTGTGTATGTTCCGTACCCGACTGGTGGTACCATGCGGTGAAGCAGAATGGCCCGTTCACCATTCTGCTCAATCTGGCCTCACGCAACCAGCCATTTGGTGATGGAACTGCGTAAGCGCTCCAGCCATCCGCTGCATGAGTCAACGCAGGGAGTTGGTAAGTAAAAAAAAAAACTTCATTCGGTCTACAATGAAAGAAATTAATGTCGACGTAAACTGGCTAGGCCCACTCGAGGAGAAAATTAAAAGATAAGTTTATGCGCAAGGTATTGCCAAGCAGCAATACGTGCCGTGTTATTTGACAATATCAGAGGTTTTTTTTTTTCTTTTTATGGCACAATTGTTAGGGTTTAATTTTTTCTTTACGGCGCAGTTATAATATTGAAATTTTTACGATACACGTTTAAATGAACACCTCTTGTAGCACGCTTCCTAATTTGTGCACTTCGCAAGCAGCTGCAGTAAAGAGGGAAACACTTGTTTACTAAATAGAAAATTCGAAACTATGTAATTGAATGTTTTCCCGAATGATCCGAAAGTACCTCGTGAGAGTCTTATGGCCTTGCTCGTCGCCATACTATTTTGCTAATTATTCTTGCCTAATTAAGCAGTTCAGCAGAACGAAAAGCTATGGGCCGTTTCCACGAAGGAAACCCTGATGTAATGCGAAGCAGCAGCGGTTAGCACGGTGTTGTGACAACGAGCGTCGACGTGGGCGCTAGAAGAACAGTTTGAAGCGAAACTCGGTGTAGCGTTTACACGAGTAAACCTTTGTTTGAAACGCAAAGACACGGGAGGCGGAACGCTTTGAAAACGCTTGCGCTCGGCTTCACTGGTTCGCGTCTCGTTGGTGTTACCCGCGTGCCGTCTGTATTCTCGAACGCGATCGGTGTTCTTGACTCGACCCTCGTCGTTGCCGCTGGTCTTCCACTGCCGCTGGTCTACCTTGGCTCGCGCCTTGTTGGTGTTGACGTCACCATTCGCGAATGCGATCAGCGTCGCTAACCCTGGTAACGCCGGCAACAGCCGGGAAAGGTACGCGCACACTAGCGGGAAGCATGTCGCAACGGCGCCCGCCCGTCGGCGCGATCGCGCTCCGAGCAGCGGCGCGCTGCCCACATTGTCGGCGCCGTGAGCTTCTCTCGGCACGCGCAGTGCGCTGCGTACATCTGCCGGCGCGCCTTTTCGCCGACAGATGGAGAGAGGTGGCGCGGGTGAGATGAGGCTCACGCGAGGAGTGGGCTCGAGCGTTGCGAGCGGTTTAGAGAGTGAAGCGAGTGAGTGAGCTGACACGCGGTGAGCGTGTGTTAGGCGAGGGAGAGATATGTCACATCGCACTGCTAGGAGGGCGTGAGGTACTTGGCACCGCTGCGACGAGGGGAGCAGTGCGGATGGAGGGACAGCGTTACACAAGCTATTCGAAGAGCTGCTTCGTATCTAAAATTACCTAGACGCACCATGTGTAACAGTCAGCAGCATGACTTGGTCGCGTTGTCATTCCTGGCATCGGCACATATTTAAGCTTTACTTAGAGTTATCTGGTGCACCCTGCTTATACGAGAATCGGGGTTCAAGAGGAGCTCCTCTTCCTCACGTCTTACTCAAACTCTCCATTAGCTCTGCGAAAGCAGTGTTAATGTTAGGAGTAATCATGAGAACATTATCAATAATTTGCAATAAATAACCTTGTATTTCACCATTATTCTTTCAATTCTTTCTTTGACAGTGAAAAAATGAGATTACGAAATACGGCAAACTCTATGCCTAGTGTGGTACCAAAATTTTAGGATTTAAATTCCTTTGTACGAATATGAGTTACTGTGCTTTATAACGTGCGCGAACATTCCTTACCGCTCTTGTTTGTATGGTCGTAGGCGGGTCCGAGTTGCATAGAGGACACCTTTCGAGCCTGGAAGCAGGCACTCGTTTTACAGTCCGTCGACACCCATTCTGGACAGATGCCGTCCTGAAAGGTACAGGTGTCTGAAAGACCGAGAAGAAATTAGAAGTAATATGCGAAAAAGATAAGAGGGGTGAATCCACTGTTGTAACACTGGTGTAAAATTTTTGTGAGCAGGCAAGCCCATATATATATATATATATATGGAGTCATAGTATTCACCGCATGATTGGTGAAAAATCGCTCTTGAATGCGTAAAATAATGCTTCTTTTGACGCAACCGCGTCAGGGCCATGTCGCTTACAAAAATGTCGCGCGTAAGCGCAGGCCGTAACTAGCATGGATAAATTTGACTTAAAATACCGGATAATCTTTGTACCGCCTATATTGAAGGCCACTTTGAATCAAGCTGGTTACACTGGGACACGGCTGCGGAGCCACGTAACTAACTGATTATAAGGGGCCATAATTTGACTTGATTCCCTGTCAACTGGTGTGTATTCAAGCCAGGATTTGACTAAAAGTGTAGACGGATTTGTCTAATCTTCGTGTTGGCTGTTTTGAAAGCACCTGTGGCTAGAAATGTTTTTGTCTTTTGACTGTTCCTTTGCACAAAAGTGTGCCATTGTAAACTTCGTGACGTTAGTCAAATCGGCGAGCCTAAATAGGTCATTTGGTGAGAAGGAACTGCTGAAGATTAGCTTAACTTACCCCCCTATTCTAGAACAACCCTTCATTCAACGCTTCACCTTGAATTGAGAAAATTGATTGCAGCGGCGTCTGTAGGCAGGGCAACTCGCCCAATATCAGGGATAATCTGCAGCGATTCTCGAGAAGCGCAGCGTCAATTTTTGACAAGCGGTGGCGCTGTGCTCCGCTCGTTCAAGTGAAGGACAAGATTCGAGTCGAGGAGCTTTCGTGAATACGGGGGTTAGTTTTGCGAGAAATCAGCTACAGGCTACACGAAGTAAACTGAAGGTGGAAGAATGGCTGCCTTGACAAATTCATGCAACACGATCACTGCCATGCTGCAGCTGAAACGGCATGCGTTGCAGCTTCCATGGACACACAAGAGTGGAAGCTTGGGCTAGTTGGTGCGTAGTCATATTTGCAAAATGTTTCAGCGCGCGAACAAAGAAAAAAGGACAGGGTAGACAGAAAGAGCGCTGACTTCCAACTAACTTTATTTCACAGAGTGTCAAGAATATATACTGCTAAAAACGATGATAACAGAGCATGAAGGTAAAATGCAAGCCTAATCTACACATCAGTAACAAAACACGTGTGACGGGTCCTCTACTGCCTCAAAGCCCAGCCAGGTAATCACGTTCAACCTGTGATAAAGCAATCGATGATGTGCCTACACATTTATCTCCTAGCAAGTGTATTTTTTCAGCTTCGATGATTTCTCGGGTAAACTGGTCCCTGTGCCTTGCCAATATTGAGCACTGATCAAAGAGAGGGGTGCACCCACAATCTCGGCAATGAATTCCAAGATGCCCTTATACCACATTGTGCACATTGTTTCGGTGTTCTCGGAGGCGGTCATTTATGCACCTGCCGGTTTGGCCGACATAGATGCACCCACACGTCAGTGAAATCAAGTATACTCGTGCTCTGTCGCGCACAGGACACGCTACGTCCCATGCGCAGTGGGAGTCGTATACTTGATTCCACTGACGTGTGGGTGCATCTATGTCGGCCAAACAGGCAGGTGCATAAATGACCGCCTCCGAGAACACCGAAACAGTATGCACAATGTGGCACAAGGGCATCTTGGAATTCATTGCCGAGATTGTGGGTGCACCCCTCTCGTTGATCAGTGCTCAATATTGGCAAGGCACAGGGACCAACTTACCCGAGAAATTATCGAAGCCAAAAAAATACACTTGCTAGGAGATAAATGTGTAGGCACATCATCGATTGCTTTATCACAGGTTGAACGTGATTACCTGGCTGGGCTTTGAGGCAGTAGAGGACCCGTCACACGTGTTTTGTTACTGATGTGTAGATTAGGCTTGCATTTTACCTTCATGCTCTGTTATCATCCTCTTTAGCAGTATATATTCTTGACACTCTGTGAAACAAAGTTAGTTGGAAGTCAGCGCTCTTTCTGTCTACCCGGTACTTTTTTCTTTGTTCACGTGCTGAAACATCTTCCATGGACACTAGTGCAATATTTCTTTCCATTTTAATATTACGAAACTGTATGCTGGGAGGCATTCAAATATTCTACCATAAAGCCTCGCACGTGTTTAAAAGTACTTTGCGAAAATGCGCTATACAAGGTTTTTGGAAGAAATCACTCCAAAATGGTGGAGGTGTGAAGGAAGGACCAATATCGCTTAAGCAATTTATCGGTGCAAGCGAACACTCCCACCGGTGTGATTAGTTTCACTCCCGGGGAAGGCGGCCGCTTTATTGTGGAGGCGAAAAAAAGAGCAGCTGTCTACAAACTTAGATCCCGACAGCCACAGAGAAACCCCTGCTAGTAAAAAGTATTGTGGAGTCTTCATTTAGGATTTCGCACGTCAGGTGTCACGCTCCTAATCTCAAAGGCTGCAGTTTTATTCCCGGCTTCGGTGGCAACATTTTGATGAAGGCGAAGTGCCAAGAACAACCATGTACTTGAATTTAGCTGCATGTAAAAGAATTCGAGCTGGCCAAAAATTTTCGTAGCCGCTCACTGCGACATCTACAACAATCATATTGCGGTTTCGTGACGTGAATGTAAATATCTTCTACAGTTACGCCATAATGATATCTCGGGTGTGCCATATTAAACCCAGGAATAGAAATATGGGTAACGCATTTTAATAAAAGTGCAATAAGAGAACAAAAAATGTGTCTTTTTTTCCGAGCAAAAGTTGACCATGCGCGAACGTACGTACGTTGATTTGTCGACTGACATTTTTTTTTCAATTGCGATTATAATCGTTGAGAAGCTTCTCGTTGCTGCAGGCTTATGCAACAATGTTAGGCAAGGGAGAAACATATTCAAAGTGTTGGTTGATAAGAAACAATGGGTGTCTATGCACCGCCCATTTCTCCTTGAGATAAGAGAAAACACAATGTGATCGGTGCAGTTGAAGGTAAAGATAGAGTGAAAGTGATCGACCTTGTAACATAGACTATGCAATGCTTCGTGCAGAAGCCACTACAACCTCTTCACATTCATTATCATTTATTCACGTCTGCTGTGTGACTTCACTGATTCAGCAGCAACTACAGAAAAACAATTCAAAGGCGCGTGCGTTGTTTAAATGGGCGTTTAAGAATGACAGAATTATTATAGGCATAGATTCACTATAGAATTAATAAAATCAGGTAGCATTTCTGAGTGTCTTAGGGGGAAAATAAAAAAACAACATCAAACGAAGAAAATAGTGTATTTAACGTTTTGCCAGGTCGAAATATCGTAAAACTCTGAATTTACCGAGGCACGGAAAACCAAAGGCACGAATTGCACAGAAAATCGGTATGATTGCTTTAAGTACCACGCGTGTATTTTCAAGGAACATCTCTTTTTTCCTGCTTCTTTCAAAGCACACGCCTGAAAATGCAATACTACTGCCCCAAGTGCTAATATTATTACATAAATGTCGCCAAGCACTATCTACTTATTCAGGTAGTTTAACATGAAAATTGTAAGGGTTCTCGCTCTAAAAACGCATGGATATAGGTTAAATTTAAACATAAACCTACAGCAACATAGATATTATGACAAAGTTATATTGGCTTTGTCTAAGTTTAGCTACCCGAGGATTCCAAACGGACACACATAGCGGGGGGAACAGTTTTAATGCCCAATACGTTTACTAAAATATTTCCCTTTTCAGTCTACGTGTCTTTGCAACAGAAGCTTTGTGGTAATGCACATATAATTGCACTAAAAACTAGACAGATTGACTTGTTTCAGCTCGAGCAGACCATCCCTCTTTATTTGACCGCAAAGACAGACGAAGTTGATGTCCACGTGAGAAAACAAACTAAATTTAGGGCGGGAAAATTGGCTCTTAGACAGCTCGCGCTACCAGGAGTAGGACGTGCTCTGAAGATTTCCGCGATAGTAGCGGCTGCGTTGTCTACTTGAAAAAACGTCGAAGCAAGCTGAAAATGAAATTTCGGAGTGCCATATGCTCAGTGGCCTTTATTAAGCGGTAAAATTCTCGCATTTCAGAGTGCGTTTGACAACACTCGAAGGCACCACAACATGTATTCGCCGCCTTTGAAGTTATGTTATATACCACTGCTCAATACAGTATCGTCGTATGAACGCGACGGAGCATCGCGCAAGCCACGTACCCACAGGGCACTGTTTGGAAGCTTGCATTACGAATCTTATAACGTCTAAACTGTCACTGACTACGACCCGAATTTACGTCCACAGTTTCTGCGATGAAGTTCTTGGTTTCGTTGTGCTGCTGCTCTGGCTGGTGAGTAGTCGAAAGGGTACACTGAGACGCTCACCCCTAAACTATGTTCGGCTAGGGACGCATTTGTTCCACAAGTTTGCCTGTATGTTGTCCACTGTGAAAAATAGTTGTCGCAAGCTCATTTGTTTTCTCCTGGCGATGTGCATTCGTAACAAACAGGTGGTATGCTTTTATTATATTATTATGACAAAACAACTCACTACTAAATGAAGTACGAGAGAAGTGGTGCAAAGAACATGCACTGATGATCACAGGATATCTAGTGAGCTCTCTTTCTCGACGTTGGTTTGGTGACACGCTGCATTATAAAAATGGCGTTCAACCAACTTGCCCAATATGCCACCCTGTGTCATGCCTTCTGCGTAATAGTGAAGATATCACCAGCAAATTTGCTTGAATTGTCGTCAAAAATTGTTATTGATAAAAAAAATGCATTGTGGTCATAGTCCACTTATATCTCACTTTGCAGCAGCAACCAAATGATGTAATATCTTCTCTGTATTGCACAGCAACTCTTAGTTCATCTGGTTTCTTATTTACTGGCGAAGTTTCCAGAACTAGTTCAGCGAAGAATGTGTTGTGTTATTTGTTGTCGCTCATAACAGGAAGAAATTCAGGGAATAATGGATGTATGAAGAAGAGAAATA